ATTTAATACTTTAAGGTTTATAGCTCAATTTAAACTTTTCAGAATCTATTTCCCAACATTGAACACACAAAAAAAAGTCTGAAATGAAATTTTGTCAAAATCGGTGTCATCTCCGATATTCAAGTACCCGTTACTTTAATGTTTTGAAGTTTGGATGAAATTTATTGTTTGAAGAACCTTGTAAACAAGAAACGCCTTTAAAAACATATACAAATAATTGAAAAGTCAAAGAAAATTGTCAAAAAAACAAACCAGTTGAAAAAGTTGTGGGGCAACCATTGTACCAAGCCGACTCCAGATTGAGAGATTTGAGGCAGCCAGATTTCTGACGGCTGTCGGATAGAGCTCGTTACTAGCCATGAATTTGGCTAAGTAGAGTTGAAACGATAATAATAATAATAAGTACTGAATTAGCAAGAAATTTCGGATACCGTATTTTCTCTAATAGTAGGGCACCACGGCGAGCCGAGTTGATGACGATTTTACGGTTTCTAAGCTTTTGCAGAAGCTCAACACTCAAATCCCCCATTAGACCTCATCGTCAGCTACATTTCCCGACCCCACATAGATAGGTTCTGAGAAGCGCTTTTTGAGATTTCGAGCAATTTAGGCGACGCTCAAGGTGCATTACTATTTGAGAAAATACGGTATCAGCGAATTGTTTGTCATTTTTTCGATCGTTTGCCCAGTTGGTTGGTAAGCAGTTGGTAAGCTTGTTTTTCATTTAGATATCGTTAGATAAAATTTACAAAACCTCTGAAAACAGAAGATCGCAATTTTTTAGGATCAATCCCTCGATTTTCCACAAAAACCGGACACCAGATGTTGCAAAAATCAAGGTAAAAGACTAGCTATTACTAATAAAAAGGACCATTTATTCTCTAAAATAGGCTTTTAACAGACTTAGAAAAGCTTCGATTTTGTAGGTTTCTAGGGGGCAAAAAGTTGAGGAACCAAAAATGATGAACACTCGATGAAGTGATTTGAGCGCTTTCTACAGAAACCTATTTTGATGTCAATAGAAAAAAGATAGAGCATAGCAAATTAGATAAATAACCAAATTTTTTAAAAATATAATCAATCGTTTTTGTTATAGTACCATTTGAAGAATTTTCAGAAAAACTTGAATTTCTGCTCAAATTTGCTTAAGAATTTCTTAAGTTAGATAATATAGTAGTGGAAAACCTTCCACGATAACTTTTATTTAGAAAAGTCTAATTCAATTGGGGTATTAAATGTTTTATGGAAAATATGAAAAAGTGTACGAACTTCGAAGTTGCTAATCTAATAGCTTATCTCTGTTCTCTTTCCTTTTCCCGGATTTCACTTTATGTCTCCGATCTCGCGAAATCATTGACACCTAACTGTTAAGCCTTTTGGATAGTTTGCTAAAGTTTTCTCCGCTCCGATTTCCCACGCAATTACTTTTTTATCATTCCAGAAAGTGAGTGAATTCACTGATAGGAAAAAGTAGAAGAAAAAGGGAAAAAGAATAGAAAAAATGAATGCTGACAGGGCAACTCCTGTGTGCAAACGGGGATGATTGGATTCACAAAAAAAGTGTTCTTTTTCTGAATTCATCAAGAATTTTTTTATTTTTTAAAGAAAACTTTCAAAAGCTCACTTTGATTTAGAAATTTGATGGTTTACTTAAATTTTCTCTGTGTCTGTCCGTTTGTCTGTCTGTTCGTCAGTATGTCTGTTCGTCTCTCTGTCTGTCTGTCTGCCTATCTGTCTGTCTGTCTCCCTGTCTGTCTGTTCGTCTGTCTGTCTGTCCGCCTGTCTCTCTGTCTGCCTGGCTGTCCGTCTGTCCGTCTGTCCATCTATCCGTCTGTCTGTTCGTCAGGATGTCTGTTCGTCTCTCTTTCTGTCTGTCTGCCTGTCTGCCTGTCTGTCTCTCTGTCAGTCTGTTCGTCTGTTCGTCTGTCCGTCTCTCTCTCTGTCCGTCTGTCTGTCCATCTGTCTGTCTGTACGCGTGAATTTTCGGCTCCCCGTGGACCGATTGAAATGATTTTTAGTTTGTTAGGCTTAGAATCCTATATAGTTGTGCATCTCATATTTCGTTTTTTTTTAAAAGCAAAAGTCATGACATAGCCGGGAGTTGAACCCGGGTGGTGTGAGCGTGGGTAAGCGCCCTAAAGTTGAAAAGGTGAGAATAACGAAAGTTTACATACGAAAGTTAGCAATCGAGTTAATTTGACATCTTTCTATCTACTTTGCTACATATAAAAGAGCAGTGTCTGTCTATCTCTCTTTCTGCACGAGCTTTTTCTCGGCCGTGTTTTGATCAATAAAGTTAAAACTTCTTTAGAAAACCTTAGAATACCGGGTGGTCCATAAAAAAGTGGCTCACTTTGCGTACCTGAAACTTTTTTTGAGCTGATTTTTGATGGAACATCGTGATGTCAGAATTGATTTAGTTTCAGGGGTTACACATTGGCACAAAGTTGGTTTTTTTGAAAATTCTATATATGATGTGATGGTCGAAGACCGAAAATTACCAAAATAAATGTAATGGGACTTCTTACTTTACATTTATTTTGGTGATTTTCGGTCTTCGACCATCACATCATACAGATGTCTAAGCCGATGAAGGATTTCAGCCGAAGAAGTCTCAGACTTCTTCCGCTAGCCGATTAAGTCTCAGATTCTCAAAAATGAAATCTTGAGTTACACTTGCTCTATGCAAACATGTTACATGTTAAACATTTTCATTTAACTTCCTAAACATTTCGATTTTGTTTCTGGTTCGGTTCAGAACAAAAATTTCTTTAAACCGAATCGACCAAAACCCATATCTAGTACGTATCATAAACGACGTAAAACACTACATACCGTATTTTATCTAATAGTAGTTCACCGCGCCGAGCCGAGTTGGTGACTATTTTACGGTTTCTAAGCGGTTTCTAAGTTCAACACTCAAATTCCCCACAAGATCTCATCGTCAGCTACATTTTTCGACCCCACATCGATAGGTTCTGATAAGCGGTTCTCGAGACTTCGAGCAATTTAGGCGACGCTCATGGTACACTACTATTAGAGAAAATACGGTATATCTTAGAAGTCTTTGGAATTTTTGTTGCATATCAAAAGAGCTGAAACTCAAGTTAGAATTTCTTTTCTTTAAAACGATTGCTTTTTTTCAAAGGAATCCTTTGATTTCCTTTGAAAAAAAAGCGATAACCGGAATCTTTTTCAATTGAATTAACAACTGTCCATCTCGACTCTCTTTTTTCTTTCTGTTTTTGTGATTTCTCCATTAAAATCAATTATCCGATCTACTCCGATTACATAGCTTTTTTTGAAAAAAAAGAGATTGGCAACAAAGATTTCGTTTGCAAAGATAGTTTGTGGTTGATTTTTTTTCGTTCAACTAAAAAAATTGCAAATCACTATCATTTTTTGCTATCGACGCCGATTTTGTTGGTGAGTTTTACATTTATCATTTTTATACACAAGAACTAAAAAACTACAAATGACAAAGTTCGATAAAAATTCAACCAATTTTCGCAATTAAACGTCTATTCACATGTGTTTTATGTATGCTTTTTTAATACTCAATAAAAGAGCTCTATGGTAAGTCTACTATATACATATAAAATATAAATATCAAGATAAAATCAAATCTACTATATATAAAAGGGAAGTGTCTGTCCGTCCGTCTGTCCGTCTGTCCGTCCGTCTGTCCGTCTGTCCATCTGTCTGTCTGTACGCATGAATTCTCTGCTCCCGTAGACCGATTTACTTGATTTTTAGTTTGTTAGGCTTAGAATTCTATATAGTTGTGCATCTCATATTTCGTTTTTTTTAAAAAGCAAAAGTCATGACATAGCCGGGAGTTGAACCCGGGTCGTGTGAGCGTGGGTAAGCGCCCTAAAGTTGAAAAGGTGAGAATAACGAAAGTTTACATACGAAAGTTAGCGAAAGAAAGAAAGAAAGTTCATTTGACATCTTTCTATCTACTTTGCTACATATAAAAGAGCAGTGTCTGTCTATCTGTCTTTCTGCACGAGCTTTTTCTCGGCCGTATTTTGATCAATAAAGCTAAAAATTCTTTAGAAAACCTTAGAATACCGGGTGGTCCATAAAAAAGTGGCTCACTTTGCGTACCTGAAACTTTTTTTGAGCTGATTTTTGATGGAACATCGTGGTGTCAGAATTGATTTAGTTTCAGGGGTTACACATTGCCACAAAGTTGGTTTTTTTTGAAAATTCTATGTACGAGGTGATGGTGCATTTGTATAATTTACATTCAAGCCCAAATTTTCATTTAACCGAGCTGAATAATTTTAAGTTTGCGTGAAAAAGATCGCGAGTGTTCTGATTCAGAATTGACATGTAGACAGTAAATCTAAAACTTCTTGGTAGTTCTGGAATGCAGCTAACATTTTTACACCATAGAGTATAATGTTGGCTTAGTGAAAATAAGTGAATTCAAAAAAGATGGCCGTCTCCTGGTGCTAAGATAAAAGCTACAGATGGGTATTCTCCGTCAAAAATCCCCGATTTCCCCACGTTTTCTGAAGTGGATGGCTCAGCAATGAAATATTATCATAGACATTAATGAGAACAAAACAGATTATTAGAAATAAAAAGTAAAAAGTTTTATGGTGAAATAAAGAAATTAAGAAGTCCCATTACATTTATTTTGGTGATTTTCGATCTTTGACCATCACATGACCATCACATCATATATATGTCGTAGTCGATGAAGGATTTCAGACGAAGAAGTCTCAGACTTCTTCGGCTAGCCGATTAAGTCTCAAGAATGAAAGCTTGAGTTACACTTGCTCTATGCAAAGTTGCAAATATTACTAGTTTTGATCTATTTTTGCATTCATCACCTCTGAATGTTTTTTGCATTTTGAGGCTTTAAATTTCAAATTTTATTGAGTAAACAAACATTAACATACCAAAACAAACTGAAATTTACTTATTCTTGCAAGTGTTGCTCTTGTTGCATTGCAGGTTGGATTTCCAGCAGGCGCATCGCCCGTTCACACATCCATTCGTGCAGTTGCAATGCTTGTGACCTGAAAGAAACTTAAAACAGGACTATTTAAAAGTTTACCTTGAGTCCCAGTCAGCGATTGTGATCCTACGGCGGCTCGAAAAGTTGATTCAACTTGTGGCACTTCTTCGAACGAAAGGAAGTTATTATTGGCGAGCTCAAATTGATTCCTTGTCAGTCTAATCTTTGAAAAATTAATTAGAAAGCAAGAATAACGCTCACTTTTGCTGTAGAATACCGTTGGTGGTGCCGATTTGATAGAATCCCTGGTTTTCTTCCATGACGACACCGAGGGGCGTTGAATGGCCGATTTTCGGACGATCCACTGCATCGATTGGCAAACGAACAGTTTGTCCGACCTCAACAGCACCAAATCTAAACACTAGCTTAAAAATTAATAAACTCACAAGTAAAATAAGTATCGAACCAACCTGTTTTTAGATTTTTCAAGCATCTTTTCGGCCTGTTTCTGTTGTTGAAGAGCCGCTCCATTGCGATGATGCCAAATTTCTTTGTCCCGTTGAACAAAATCTAAAATAATTAAAAGTTAATTAAGAAATAAAAACTTTTAAAATACCTCCTTCTTTTTCTTTCGCAATAGCACCTTCTTCGTCGTCTGTCTCCGGAAAAAATGTTGGATTTTCTGTGATTGTGCCCCGAATCTATTCACTTCAATCGATGATTTCCACATTTTCTTGATCAGGAACCTAAGCCCTAATTAAAAAAGAAGAAATAGAAAACGTACATCTTGTTCGTTGTCGTCGATGCTTCGCTCGGCATTCGATAGTGCAATTGTATCAAGAAACCCAAGTTGCATTTTTCGACCAAACTAAACAACAAAAATAAACAATAATACCAAAAAGTCAGCCATTGCTTCGTAAGGTGATCGCCCAATGCCCCGGTGATAACGTTGATTCTTCATCGGTTGGACAATCGGAAGAATTCGAGCCCATCTTGTTGATTGTTGCTCCCTCAATTGCGTACATAGAATTTTCTAAAACAAAAATATCAAAAAATTAGTGTTATTAAAAGTTTACCTCAACATCCTGATTTGCTCTTTCTACAGATCCTTGACTCTGCGAGTGTCGAGGACGACCATGCACTATTCGACAGCTTGGCCACCGGTTCACGAGTTCTTTGACCTAAAAGCAAACAAAATAAAGCGTCATAAATAAAGAAATTCGATAGAAAACAAAAGTAAAAGCTTACCAATCTGTTGGCAAACTCCTTTCCGTTGTCGGACTGAAGAATTTTTGGGGCTCCATACGTTCCGAATATTTCCATTAGATGATCGAAAACTTCAAATTGTGTTTTCCTTTGCAATGCCCGCAAAACGACGAACTTTGTGAAATGATCCTGGTAGACCATCAAAAACTTGACTTCTCCATCGGGAACGGATTGAAGATCGATTAAATCCACCTGGCATCTCTCGTTGAAATCCTTTGTAACAATTGACTTCACGACTATTCCTTTCTTTGGTGTTCCTTTTTTGAGCTCGCATTCTGGGCACAAATTGACAAAAAAGCCCAAGTCGTTGGTGAGTGGTCGTTAACAGGCCAAAGAGCTCCGTCTTAACGACTTTCTTCGGTTTGTTCAAATCGCCTTTGATCCCATGATTGTAAAGCACCTCTTGATTCAATTCGTATCGAAGAGAGAATCGCACCACAAGTTTTTATGTTTTTTTCGATCGTTTGAAGTCTTCATTCCGCAATTGTTGGAGAACGGTGACGATTTCCGCGTATTTCTCGCTTGAAAAAATCAAGCTTCGCTTTTGATTTGATTGAAAGTGAGAAAACTGCAGGTCGAATTCTTTCTCCATTCCTAAAAACAAAAATTAGTGTAGCATAAACAAAAAATGCACAATAACAAAAAGAAAAAATAGGAATGAAATAAGGGGTTATGTTCGATTATAAACAGATTAGTGGTAAACAAGTTTTATCGATGATCCAACAAAAGGGCAAATTGACTTACAAAAACAAACAATTCTATTTTAAATAAATGACGAATCAGATAGAAAATGACGACAAGGGCCCTTTTATAGCCTTTGGCTACAGTATGATAGAATGCCCACTCTTTATGCGTTTTTAGCTTTTAAGCGCCTTTTAGAGAGATTGAGTTTGTGGTATTGACTTGAGTCAATACATAACTCAAGATTTCATTTTTGAGACTTAATCGGCTAGCCGAAGAAGGTTTTGCTAGCGAAAAAATTTGAGACTTCATCGGCTACGACATACAGAATTTTCAAAAAAAACCAACTTTGTGCCAATGTGTAACCCCTGAAACAAAACCAATTCTGACACCACGATGTCCCATCAAAAATCAGCTCAAAAAAAGTTTCAGATACACAAAGTGAGCCACTTTTTTATGGACCCCCTGTATATCGTAGTTGTGTCATTTAAAATAAAAATTCAAAAATTTGAAATTGAGTGGCACTACGGGGGTCGAACCCGGGTCGTGTGGGCCGTAGACAAGCGCGCTCGATTGAAACATTCAACATTTTGGAAATGGCACAGCAAAATTCGGAACAGGATCCATTGTTGCAACAAGGTAAGAGATTTAAATTTGAAAAAAGAGATTTGAATTTCATTTATTCATCTTTAACAAACAACAAAATAACAGTCAAATCTTTTGGAAGCTTTGACATGTTGTGGTCGCCGCTCTCAATGAAAATTGGTGCCGCTCTAGAAAAGATTCTATCCAACCGTGACTTCTTTTTAAGGCAATCTCTGCATCGGTAAATCGATTAGCCGCTTCGTTCCAGATCATTCAACGGGTCACTCGCCTTTTTTGCTCCTTTTTTCAAGAACCCATATTGCCAAAGCTTCATCAATCTCTTTTGAGGTCAAAGCGCGTCCGCCATTATCAAGCCACTTCCTTTTTTCGTGCATTTTGCTCAGCTCATTTGTTTTGACTTTGACTTATCGTTGGACACAAGCTCGATCAATTTCATAAAGTCTGGCAGCGGCATGAACGGAGACTTCGCGAGCCATTTTTGCAGCATCGAGTTTAGTCTTCGCCTCCACTTCCTTTTTTCATTCGCTTTGGCTATTCCGTGCTCTCGTTTGCTTCTTTGTCCAGTTCCTCGTGCAATTCTTCGTTCAATTCACGTTGATGTTCTCGTCCTTTTTCAAAGAATCCGTTTAGTTCGTGCTCACGTCGATCGCGAAACGCTTCAAAGTCATCCCAGCTTTCGTGATGGCTCACTGAACCTAAAAAAATCAAATTATCAAAGAAAACGAATAAGAAATGCTAGAAAAGCAGTAAAAAGGAGAAGAATTGAATGAAAATGTTATAGTTGCAAAAACAAAAAGCCGAATATCTTGAATTTGAAATTTCTCGTAGACATTAAGATATTCAGTTAAGGGGCGCTACTATTGCAGGTATCACGGTAATGCTTGTTATCGATGACTATCATTTGTACTTGAATGATGATAAACTTGACAATTCTTGTCAATAATATATTGATACAACTTGAATTCTGAAATTGTTTATATAAAAGTATAAACTTAGAAGGAAATCCGAATGAAAACAATCAACTTTCTATTCAATTAGCTCTTCAACAACGAGAAGAGGTAAGTTTTTCATTGAAAGCGAATCAAACATGAATGTTTTTAAAAAAAACTGAATAGAAAACATTTCTTTGATAATGTAAATCAATAAGTTGAGTTAAGGTAAATGCTCTTCACAGAGCAATGTACAATTTGGATGATGTTCACGTGGAGAAAACGTTCAACACTAACAACAGGAGGGAATGGTTAGTAGAAAATAAATATTATTGGTTACGTTTAAGTTATTAATTCTCCACAAATATTATAAATCTTTCAATTTATTATAATTTTTTTAAAAGAAGTTAACTTTTGAGTTAAAAATCGTTGCTGTCCGATTTGTTGATCCTTTTCAAAAGTGTGCAAATTTTGAAAGGTTTATCTAAAAATATTATCCAAGTTATTATATAAAAATAATAGAATATGAAAAAATCTTAGGGGAAAATTATTGAAAGAGAAATCAATGCCTACAAATGATGACAAATATCCGAAAGGGTTTACCGCCATTGAGCTGCTCGCTTTTCGAGAAGGATCCATACTGCCGGATGAAGGCTGGTTTTATAACAATGTCTAATTCAATAAATTTTATGATTTTAATCTTTTAAACTTCTTTATAACAGCAAACTTTAGAAAGCAATATGCAAAAGCGTGCAGAAAAAATTCTCGACATTCTCGACAAAAATTTTCGACGGGAAATCGAGTTGAGAAGAAAAAAAGCGTTTGTTAAGAAAGACAAATTTAGAGACAGGAAACCGTTGACTACTCTTTTGCATTATACAGTGAGGAATGGGAATTCATGGCTGACAGAGACGCTGTTAAAGAAGTTTCAGAAATCTGATTTCATTAATGTAAGCTCAAAAAAGAACTTACGATTAGTTAAGTTTTACTTACTTTTCAACTCTTAAAGTTAAAGAATCAGAAAGTTGAAAGTACGGTTAGGTATCGGTGAAGTTTTACTTGATTTTCAACTCTTAAAGTTAGAGAACCAGAAATTTAAAAGGACGTTTCAGTAACGGTTAAGTTTTTCTTACTTTTCAGCTCTTAAATTTAAAGAATCAGAAAGTTGAAAGTACGGTTAGGTATCGATTAAGCTTTTCTTACTTTTCAGCTCTTAAAGTTAGAGAACCCGAAAATTAAAACCAAATTTGAATCGCTGCTCTAACATTGACTGTTAGCCAAATACAAATACCTTCTTTTTGTGTTAAAAAAAACACCGAAATATCTTGAAGCATTTTCTTTACAGGCAAAAAATAAGAGCGGTCACACTCCACTCATGTTGGCGTGCTTTACAGATTCGGTTATGGTGGTAAGTTGCTGAAATTGTATAATTTTAAACCAAAAAGTTTTGATGAAAAAACTACTCGAGCAGCGAGAGATTCTCGACTTGCACCCGAAAGAGTATGATAAGGACGAAAACTATTTTCATTTGTTGTTGAAACGCGATATTAACTGGATTGATTCATTCTTTGGTTTGTTTTTTTTTGAGTTAAACAGATTTCCCTTTAGCATTTAGTATCTGATTTTTGTGCTTTCTTTGTTTTAAAAGTAAACTGTAAATGGTTGCGTAGGAATCGATTTTGACAGCTGTTGATACTTGTTTTCAAAAACAATTTCTGCCAAAACTATGCAATAATAGTAAAGCTTTTAAAAAGTCTTTGATAAGAGAAAAACTCTTTAGCAATAGCCGAGAAACCGTTTCACAACGATGTTGATGGGAACAAAAGAACTTTTTGGTTGAACCAAATCCGACTTGCACTAAACACCCAAAATATCCATGGTGTCACACCGATACAATGTTTTGTTGAAAGAAGTCTTCATCAAAACCTTTTCCGGTAAATCTTTTCTTATTCTTCATTCATTACTAGGCTTGTAACGAAATCATCTGTCGATCCTTTTTGCCGTTGGCAATTTAAGGTTTTTCGTGTTTTCCCCAGTACCAACACTTCGATTTTGTCTATTTTAACTATCATTTGATGCAGAATAAAATTCCGTGTCGAATGAGACCAAAATGAACTCAAAATGTAATATCCATGCAAAGTTGTTGGCTAAAAACCTAAACCCCGCCCATTATGGGCGGGACCTAACCTTTCGCCACATAACTTTGCATGGATATTACATTTTGAGTTCATTTTAGTCTCATTCGACGCGCAATTTTATGCTGCATCAAATGATAGTTAAAATAGACAAAAATCAAAGCGCTGGTGCTGAGAAAAACACGAAAACCCTTAAATTGCCAACATCAAAAAGGATCGACGGATGTTTTCTTACTATTATTTGTAAACTATTAGAGTTATGGTACTTAAAGTATCAATTGATTAGTTTCCTGAATCCTGAAATTCCAGGTAAAAACTGTTTTTTGTCAATGACTATTTTTCTAAATCAGATATGGGACCTTTGAAAGTTCTATTTTTTGGCAAGCTGTCTTTGAATGATTTAAAAATTCATCTAAGATGAAAGAATTTCAAAAGAGTTTTTTTGTTTATCTTTTAAACTTTCAAAAGTTTTAGGTTGCGAGCTCTTTTTAATGGGCCGGGTAATTCTCAAGAAGAAGGTAGCGATCGCGGTAGAGTTTTGGATTATCGTTTTCGGCCTGAAGAAACACTTAAATCCTTCAAGGACACTGTTAACGGGTAACTTTTATGTTGTCAATTCAGTTTATCATTTCTTAGAGCAAACCCTTATTTATTGCATAAAGCGGCGGCGGTGAATAGCTACGAAGTGATACAATTTCTTGTTGATCAGGTTCGGTGTTTGGTTTTTTTTTAGGGGAAAGGAGGGGGTTTCCCCCAGGAAACAGAGCTTTAAATTTATTTCTAAGTTACGTATCTAGATATTTTAGCTACAAATCATCATCAAGCCTGGAAATAGAAATCTTGAAACGCCGAATCTTGAAACGCCGCTTCACATTGCCGCCAAATACAACAATGATCGGGTTGTTAAAGAGCTGATTGCAAAGTGTCATAGAAAGGTAGGTCCGGTCAATTTTAACCCTTTTACTAAGTAAACATGCTTTCGGAAATCAGCTAGGTAAAAGGTAGGCAAAAAATTTCAGCTTTGAAACTAATATGATATAAATCTATTGCCTACTATAGTGTAAGTGTTTCTGTTGCAAAAACACTTTCCCTAATTGTCACTAACACTTTCCCTTATCACCCTGAAAAAAGAAAATAGAAACCACAGAGTGATGGATACAAAATTGTCTATTTAATTAAAAAAAAAAGATATTTTACTTAAAGTATTGGATCAATGCTCATGAAGTGGCTAAATATTTCCAGATTTCCCAACCAGATTTTATATAGTTCTTTCATGATTTGTTGCTAGGGAAAAGTTATGTAATAATCAGCTTTTTAACAAAAGATTCCTGTGGAAATAACTATTTCAAGCAATCATGTTTTCATTAGAGTTTTCAATAAAAAACTAAAGCTAATTCATCAAGAAATCCTAGGCTTTATCGCTTCAGATTATTCTCAAAACTCAAAAAACAATCAACATGCTTCTATTTAAAGATTTCAGTATTAAAAATGCTCTGAAATCTTTAAATAGAAACATATTGATTCAAAATATCGAGCTAATAGAACTTTGGCTTTAAAGAATATCAAAGTTGAGTTGACTCCAATGATCGAAAAGTTTCTCCATCATTTAATGTAAAATAAAAAATTTAGCTTCTATTAGCTTAAGATTACAACTTTTCATTAAGGATTAGCCATTTCATTGACCAAATATTACCTAGAGTGACGTGCCACAACTTCTTCAAGACGAAGATAACATTGGAATGACGGCATTGCTCTTTGCAGCCTGCACAAACGCCTGGGAGGCAGCTAAAGTAAGAATCTTTTGTACAAGAAATGGCATGTCAACAGACATTTCAACAGAGCTTTGTCTTTAAGACTTGATAAACTTGGTAAAGCGGTGTTTTTCTATGTTTTTCAATATTTTCAAGATGTACTAACAATTAGACATCAGCTAACTCAGCTAGATCCGCTAGATCAGCTAGATCAGCTAACTTTTTTCAGTCTAACCCAATACATGAGTTGAATTTTCGATTTTTCAGTCCGCTCCAATCTAAGCCAGTCCTAGATGCGCTCTAAGTTACATAATTAATGAACTGACTCCTTTTCAGTTCAACCAGTCAAGTACGTTGAATTTTTGACTTTTCATTTCGGTCAACCCACTCTGGATTGAATCAAAGATTGAATTAACGACGTTATTGCGCTGATTTGTGGAAAATAAGAATAATTACAGATTTGCTGTAGTTTTTGGTAGAATATAGACTCGAAACTGGTTGATCTACACAAAGAGACTTTATAGAGAAAGTGGAAGAGATTTAGACACATAAAGTACGATATAAGCTTGAGATTATGAAGCTATGAAGAAATATGAGAAATATCCCTAGATTTCTGCACTGATTACTCCTAGGAACTCATCACAGCCTATCGAGAGTATTGTCCAGAGATTAGCGACATCGAGTTGCTTTTTCATCACAACAAAGACGGAAACGATATGCTGATTTTGGCTAGCGAAAATCGCCATCCTGCTTTTATTAAGGTATCAATATTGGTTTTTTGGTAAAAATGATGGTGAAGAATTTCACGAGTGACAATGCGGATTTGCGTGAAGGAGATTTGGTGAGTGCGGAAAGGTAGTACTGTGGACTTAGCGTATGCTTGTGCGGTTTAATACTTGGCCAGTCCATGCCAGATCTTGTCCCTTTCCCTTCTCCATCCCAGATCTTGTCCCGATCGCTTCTCCATCCCAGACATAAGAATTTCATGTTATCGATGGAAAATTTGAAAGAAATTGAAAGAAAAGTTCAGAAATTCGTTTAGAAACTTCTCGAAGAACTAAAGGTGACAAACCTTCATTATCCTACAGTCAATTTGAGGGAAAGTTCAAGTTTATCAAGGTTTCAAAAATTTATAAAAATAGAAAAATTTATCAAAAGAAATTTAGATCGGAAAAAAGCATGAAAAAGACTCCATTGCATTCGATCGCAAAGTGTGGCTCATTGGAGGGTCTAAAGGTGACACTAGATATTCCAAAATTCCAATCCAACCCCAATTTCACCTTCGTTTTCTTAGCTGATTCCTCTGAAATTTTGTCTACAGATAGAAATCGAGATCTCCAGCTTGTAGACAAAATTTCCGAGAAACGGTCGAGAAAATGGTGGAATTAGGTTCGGATTGGAATTTTGAAATGTCTAACCTTCACCATAACCCTAAAGCCAATACTAAGCATTATTGATAGCTATAGAAAACAAGTACCATTTGTTTTTATATAACTTTTAGGTACTGTTGAGTAAAAATCCGATTCTTATCAAAATGCTGGACCATAAAAATAGGTCCGTGTTACACGTGGCAGCAAAAAGTGGACATTCAGCGCTGGTAAAGGTTATTTTTGAAACTTTTCATAATATTTAGGTTGAATATTTACTTGATCGAGAGGACGCATCTCTGATTTTAGACGAAAAAAATGCCCGTGGTGACACTGCTCTTCATCTAGCGGCTAGAGGCGGTATTTTTAAAAAAATTGCAACATTTAAAACTTTCAGGCCTTGATGAAGTTTGTAATCAATTGTTGAAACGAGGAGCTAAAACAAAAGATTGCACGAATGCGGACAGAATGACAGCATTTGACTTGGCTATTAGTGTAAGGCACTTATTTAAGACGACTTATGAAGCACGTAAACTCGAAGTATTTATATTTCTATTTATTATTTCTAAATTAAAATAAACTCTACTAACTTATGTTTTAAAAATATTGACACTTTAGCATGGTCGACTCGAGTGTGTGAAAGTGTTAGTAAAACATTATAATATCAATGGAGACAGCAATGATAGGTGACTTCTTTTTTGTGTTTTTCAAACACTATTTTAGAATGGCTCCGTTACATTATGCAGCTAAAGAAGGCTATGAAAGTATTGTCAGCTATCTGCTTGCAAACGGGGCAAAACTTGGTTGGCAATAATTTATTAATTTGCTTTTTTTTGAGGGCTCAATCTAATCGACTTTAAGGCTCAATCTAATCAACTGCCTAAAGAGAAAGTCGCATCATGAGCAGGATTGTTTCTCGGGTCTGGAAAAAGCGCAAACCTTGAATTTTGAAACTGAAAATAGGCTGATTTTATAAGCTTTGTGGTACCCCACTTTTTGAGGACGGCCACTATTCAAAGTTGGAATGAAAATTGTTACAAGCCAAGCCAAATCCGATCTGAAATTAAGACAGCAATGCCGCGTCAAACACACACACACAAGTCGGAGTTAGGCGTGGTGCTGAGGCATAGGATTAGGCTTAGGCTGATCCTCAGGCAGAGTTTACGTTTCGAAAAGCTGACCATAATGAAAAATATTGTAAAAACCATAGCAACTGGTTTAAAAAACTTAGTTTTTATCAGAACTTCATACTTTCAGATCAAGATTTTCTCGATCCGCCAATTCCCTTGGGAAAAACAGCACTCGATGTTGCACTTGATCATCAGAAAATGTAAGAAAATGATCAAAAAAAATCCTTGTTTATTCAGTAGGGTGGCTGAAATTTTATTGGAAGATAAAAGAGATGATTGGAAAAGTTTGTTACGTCGCTGTGTTTACAAACCAAACAATGGGGTATTTTCTGAACTGTCTACAGAGTTTCACAAAAAAAGTACAGGAACTCGTGACGCCGATGAGAAGATTGATCAAAGAATTTCCCTCTTTAGCCAAACAAGTGATGACCCAGTGCATAAAACCGTATTTTGTTTTTCCTTTATTAAACATACATTTAGTTTAGAACAACACATGAAGGTGACCGTCACAGTTATGATTTTGAGTTCATTGATGATACGTTTATGCTGCCAAATAACGACTCTAAAGACATTAACGACAACTCTAAAGACATAAAGCCACTTAACTCTACAGACGGTAACCTTCTGTAAAAGTTCTGTAAAACAATTCAGGAAGCTTTTCCAGATTTAACTAAATACAATGTTTTTTGTTTTTTTTTGTTTGATCAAAATTTAAGACTAAATGAAACCGGAATATTTTTTTGATGCTTCATTGTTTTTCCGGTTGTCTGGCGGCCAGTTTTCTTCCAAAAAGCTAAACGAATTCACTTGATCTAAAATTGCATTCAAATACTTAAAATCACTTTATATATAGGTAAGTTATAAAATAATCTTTTAGAAGGTTATCGGTTGAGCAACGGGACTGAAGAAGAACTCATTCAACCGGACGGGCATTTAAATCCGAAAGCAAAACAATACACGGAAAATGGGAGCGAAATTCGAGAGAATCATCCATTGAAACTGATGGTATTCATTTACAATTAATAAACCAGAAATTAACAAGTGAGTTTCAACTTTAGATAACGAACTATGCTTCAAGCTTATTAAGTTTCATTTCACTTATAAACTCAAGGCTCAACTTTTATTGCTAAACTCTAAACTTCTAAGCTAAACTTTAAACTCTAAATTCGAAACTTCTAAACTAAATTCTTTTAGGCAAAGTCAGAAAACGTGGAAACAAGGGAACTTCTCAAACATGAACTTGTAAAAGTTCTCTTAGATTATCGATGGAATATTTATGGCTACTATGGATTTTACTTATGTTGTAAGCAATCTTTTTTCCTTTTTATAAACACTTTGAGTGAAATCGACTCAAAGAAGTTTAGCTATTTAGCTCTGCTTCCCTACGTTGGCTTTCTCATTTCCTACATTGGATTATTCTGTTGCACGGATCAATGGTACAAAGAGTTGAATCGCACTATTACTAGCAATACCACTAGCTCAATAACACTATCTGTTGACATGGTGAGCGTTTGCCAAAATTTTTAGGTAGACTTTTAAAAGTAAAACTGAAAAGCTTAAGGAGAATTGGCTCGTTGCATGGTTGGTGTTAATTTCTTTGCTCATCTTGTTTGGCAAAGAGGTTTGATATTTAAGAAAAACTTCTTAGCAGTGCTATTCTTCTCAGAGTTTGGTTTAGAAGTGATTCAAATCAATAATCATAAAAATAGAATCAAAAAAATCCTCAAATTGGGGAAGACTTTTGAAATACGAAAAGCCACTTGCTAGCTCTAATTAAATACTCAGAGTTAGCACATTGCGACATAATAAGTTAAAAATTTTTTCTGTATGATGTTAAAATGTTTGGTAATTACAGAATTATATATTTGTTTTATCATTCTGCAATATTTTAGATCAGTTATATTTGATCGTTTTGCAATTATTCAGATCGGAAAGTTAACTACAGTCGAACTTTGATATAACGAATCGCTCGAGACCAAAAACTTGCGACTATATCAAAAGAGCGCCCTTCCAAAGAGCGCCCTTCCAAAGAGCGCCGTTCCAAAGAGCGCCGTTCCAAAGAGTGCCGTTCCAAAGAGTGCCGTTCCAGAGAGCGCCGTTCCAAAGAGCGCCGTTCCAAAGAGCGCCGTTCCGAAGAGCGCCGTTCCAAAGAGCGCCGTTCCAAAGAGCGCCAATGCAAAAACGCTCAAAAAGCGCCAAGCTTTAAGTTATATTAAATTCAACCACTAACTGCGTTTTAACCATTTTTCCTTGTTTTTTCTTTAAAATTCCTGTATTGATTCCAAATATTTATACTGAATTCCTTTAACAATTTAATAAAAGAACAAAAATAATAACAACATTTAAAATCGATGTAAAATGACAGAGATTTAAGATTTTCAATATGCCATTTCTGATAGTGAACCTCCTTATCCGAGGAGAAGAACAAACGTGAGGCGATTGTAGATTAGTTTCTTTACCTAAAATTAAAAACTTCGACAATAAATGAAAACAAACAACAAAAAATATTTCTTTTGATAAAATGCGCCTTACCTCGACTTGCCGCTCGTTTTCTGCCAAAACCAACGGCGAATTCGAATTTCCCGTCGTTCTTTTGACTAAAAATAAAAAAATAAAATAAACATAAATAACCAGCAAAAATATCAAGAAAAACCAAAAAAATTGGGGGCGCAAAAATCTAGTTGCACTCTTTTGAGCGTTTTTGCATTGGCGCTCTTTTGAGCGGCACCCTTTTGGTTACGGCGCTCTTCTGAACGGCGCTTTTTTGAGCCGCGCCCTTATTTTACGGCGCTCTTTTGAGCCGCGCCCTTATTTTACGGCGCTCTTTGGAACGGCGCTCTTTTGAACGGCACTCTTTTGAACGGCGCTCTTTTGAACGGCGCTCTTTTGAACGGCGCTCTTTTGAGCCGCGCCCTTATTTTACGGCGCTCTTTTGATATAGTCCCGAAAACTTCGATATAACGAACCTAAAACGTGCCTCAAATTTTCTGCGTAGCTGCCCTGGACAGCCATTGATTGCATTTGGCTGGGGCAACTACACAGAAATTTTGGGTACATTTTAGAATTTCAAATTTATTGTATCAAAGTTGGACTGTATTTAAGATTTGTCTCTTTAATCTAAAATAACATAAACAAATGTACAAAATTTAGGGTTTTCAAATATCGAAAATTGGATGGAATTATTTTTCTCATTGTAAGTTTCAAGTTTTATGTTTTATAAGAAATTTTTAGTGGAAAACTATGTTGAATGGCTTGTTTATATAGGCGCATCAATTACAACAGTCTGGAGATTTTGGGAAGTAGGCTTTTGAAACAAAAATTGAAAACAAAAATTCTTGTTTACCTTTACGTTTTTAAAGTCAAACAACATCTTCTCAAACAAAGAGTCAATTTTCAGCTACATCAACAAAGTAAAACAACAAATGATCTTTTCTGGATCATTTCCTCGCTGGTCTTTGCCCTTTCTTGGTTCAATTTGGTAAAATTATCAAAAATCTTTGAATAAAATAGTTTTAGTTGATATTACTCAGCAAATTGCAATGGCTTGGTCCATTTATTTTAATGTTTAATGATGTATTCAAATCGTTTCTCGCATTGACTTTCATTTTCGCTCTCTTCATTATGTCATTTTCCTTCAGCTTTGGCATTCTTCTTCGGGATTCTCCCGGACAAGTGATCTCAATAGCATTGAAAAACAAATTGGTTTAGGATGAATTCACAAGTCGTATAAATTCTTTTGTCAAAACATGGATGATGTCCACGGGGGAAATTGGTTACTCAGACATTTTCTTCGATGACAAAAAAGTTTTTACAAGGTTGGTTGTTTATTTTTGCGTTGTTTTTGGAATACAAAGTTAGTCAGACCAAAAATTATCGTTTATTCTTGAAAACGATGTTGAGCAACATGTTTATAGGGCTTTTTCATGTGATTCGTTAAAACTATTGAATATTTAGTGAATATCTTCGAGGCACAGCTATGATTCTTTTCTGTATTTTTGTTGTATTAATCGTTGTTTTACTTTCCAATTTATACACTGGTGTTGCTGTCGGTGACATTGAAAAGATTCAAAAGGAAACGGAAATCAATAAAATGTCCGTCCTGGTAAGTCTTTACTCTTTACTTTTTTGGTTGGTGCGTGTCTTTACAATTTTTTTTCCAATTTTTCTTTCCATAGAAAAGAATCCTTTTACCAAATTGTTACCTAGAATATTAAAAAGATCTATCGTTTAGCTCTATGGAAAAGCGATTTTTCCAAATTTACAAACTTTAGTTACACAGATAGACTCAAAATTTTTGCTCTTAAATCTCTTAGACACCGCCGCTTGGTCACGGATTTAATAAAATGTTTCAAAATTGTAAAGGGCAGGCAACTTATCCCTCTTTTTCCAGATTTATTCAAAGTTAATCCCACGGTTTGTATTGAAGAAAGTGTCCAATCCAATCCAATTTTTTGGGAAATAGACTGCACAAAGAAAGAGCTCGTTTTCGAAAAAACCCATTCCAGCTTAGCTATTCCTCAAGTTTTATGTTGTAAAATAGCCGCCCAGAAAAGAAAAGAAAAGCAAAGATGCTCTGAAATTGTTATATTTAAAAAAAGTTGTATTGATATATCTATTGGCCAAACATCAAACGGTTAACTCAATTTGAGCGGAGCCAAAACTTGATCCAAAGGCACCCTTCCATTTTTTGGCCACCTCTTCTTCTGTGCAGTCACTTTGCCCAAAAGCTGAACAAATTCAAAAACTTTTTATATCAAATTGTAGAGGAGATCTTCAGCTTTCGAATAATACTCATATATATCTTTTTCTTGATTTCGGTATCTTGAGAAATTTACAAAATAGTAAAAAACGCGCATTCATAACTGGACAACCCAATAGTTTAAATAGAAATTTTGTTGATGATGGCATTATTTTTAAAAGATGGAAAAAATTGTAAAGACTTATGCACTAACCGAATAGATTATAAATACTTTTAACCTCTGCTTGCTGAATGCCTTTTCTGCAATAAGAAATCTTTTTGCTTTTGAATTAATACAGAAAAAATATGAGCAAATTTGCTATCGTAGACTAGAGAGTAGAGACTAGAGTACTAGAGAGTAAAACTAGAGAAAACTGTTTAGGCTGATTGTGTTCTTATGCAAGGAACGCTGATTAGTACAATAATGGAAAAACAGAAATACAAAATCACCGACTATCATAAAGATAAAAATTTTTGTCGTGAAGCTTGCAAGTTTAGAAAGCAATGGTAAAGTTTCTTTTTGTTTCAGGTAAAGTTTTTCTTTAGCTTTTACGCCTGTTATGACTGGTTTTATTTGTGGTTTATATCTAATGTGCTGCGTATTCATTCAAGAGAAAAAAAGGTAAAAGTCTTTTGGTTTTTGCTATCAAATTTTCATTCTAACTGTTAAAAACTAATTTGTCTGTATTAGTAGTGTCCTTTCTTGCTTCACTAGAAGTGGCTAGACCGATTGCTTGAACGAAAATCAAGTGATTTAAAGAAGCAAAGTGTGTGAAAATGTTTCAACGAAAGAAAAGAAACTGGTGTTGATCTAGAGACAAAAAGGAATCACTGACGAAAATTGTGGAATTAACAAAAGAAAACAACTTTCACAAGAAAAAAAAAGAAAATTTAGGGTAAATGGAGAAAGAGGCGTCCTTTTATACGCGTGTGAGCGCAACATTATTTAGGCTACGGCATTTCTAGTATCTTATTAGATTGCGGCTTTTTGGTGACTCGTCGTCACAGATACGTCCTTTGACAAAGAAGGATAAATTTTGTGTTAGGTTTTAACTTGTCAACCTAACAATGAGAAGCCTAGTAGCGCCCTTTGAGCCTTTCGATCAAAGTTTGGTACTTGAAAATACCAAAATGAGAAAATTTAAGGTAAATGGGGGGTGTGGCTACTTTGCGCCAAATTTTTTGCGCTTGTGCAACTCGCCATAACTTTCTTCTAAGTGGGCCAATCTTTATGATTTTGGTTTCATTTTGTTGCACTTAAAATCATAAAGATTGGTCCACTTAGAAGGAAGTTATAGTGAGTTGCGTAAACGACCGCGTTGCGCAAAAAAAATTACGGAAACTAGCCATCCCCGTAAATGGGGAAGGAGGCGTCTTTCTAAACGTGTGAGCGCGACATTGTTTAGGGTACGGTATTCTAGTGTCTTATTAGATTGCGACAGTTTTTTTGATGGCTTGTCGTCACACTCACGTTTTTTAACCGTTTTCCTATATTATTTAAAACTTTAACAGGAAAATGAGAGATTAAAATTATTGAAGCTTGCGATAGAAATCATGACACGATCAAGTTTATCTCTATTTATCTCTAATTACCAGCCGGGAAACCCGCCTAACGGCGGGTTTTTCTAGATATTTTGAGGACGAACGGCTTTTGTCACCGTGGCACAGTGAATAGCGCGCCGGTCTGTGGTCCATACGATCTGGGTTCGACCCCGGCATGTGACTTCAATTTTGCTTTCTAAAAAATCCAAAAGCACGTTGCACAACTACATTGAATTCCCTATTCAACGACGCAAAATTCATTGCAAACGGTTCTCTGGGAGCTGAGGAGTAGCGCGCACAGACAGACGGACAGACAGACTTCTTAGTAAACAAACGTCCTTGATATATAGTAGATTATAAGAGAGAGAGAGAGAGAGGGTATGTGTGTGTGTCTGTCTGTGATGCAATTTTAGAAAGAACGGTTGGACCTATTTGGCTGAAAATTTGGCTATAAGTGCAAAACTTTATCTAATTTTAAAAAATCAAATTAGTTTTGGGGGTTAGTGGGGCCGTTTTTCGTAAAAAGCGGAATTACTGAAGCTGATTTATACGCGTGGCTGAGTGGTCTAAGACGCCGACTTTAAATCTAGCGCTGGAGATAGGTTGTTGATTTGACTCTCCTGCTGCTCAGAATGGCTTTTTTTTCTTTTGATTTTTTAATAGAAACTTTTTCCAAAGCTAGAACTAACAACATTTGGCATAAAATTGTTAACTGCTGATTTTGTTTGATGTCAAATTTACAGCCAAGCCTGTTTATTGAGGTAAATTTAAAGTTAAATGCTAAAACTTGTTGTTAAGATGTGTAAGATTTAGGAAAAATTGTTTTAGCGCTTTTTTTTTCATAAAACAAAGTATAGGATGAAGATCAGGGATCCCAACAACAAAATCAACGTCCCGCTTCAACATCTTCTACGGAACAAAAGAATCGTTCTTTATCTAGACGAACAACTAAATTCAAGGTAAATCAACGTCGTGCTTCAACATCTTCTACGGAACAAAAGAATCCTTCTTTATCTAGACAAACAACTAAATTCAAGGTAAATTTTATTCGTAAAATAAATGCTTTTCCAACTTTTTATAATACAATAATGTCATTTTGATCTAAATGAATTTTAGGAAGAGAATTTCTACTCAAATGATCCCACACAAAATTACTTGGCCACCAACTACAACATGATAAAACAGTTGAAACATGAAATGGTTGGTATTTTGTTTTCCTTTTTACATTTTAAATCAAAGATCGCTCGAATTTGCATGAGATTTCTTATTTAAACATTTTACAATCAGGCAACACTCTCCAAACAACAAGTCAAGATGTTTGAAGTGATCAATATTATCAAGGTGAACATTTGCATGAACATTAACACGATTCTACCAAGTTACAAAACAATAATCTATTTGTTTAGCCTCATGGCTTTTTGGCTGTAACAAAAAAGATGCGCATCTATTCCTAAAATAAATGCTTTTCCAACTACTTATAATATAATAATGTCATTTTGATCTAAATGAATTTTAGGAAGATTTCTTATTTAAACATTTTACAGGATGACTGGGTCACCAACTACAACATGATAAAAGAGTTGAAACATGAAATGGTCGGTTTTATGTTTTCGCTTTTGCTTTTGCTTTTGAAATTGCTCATTTACATTTTAAATCAAAATTCGCTCGAATTTGCAAGAGATTTCTTATTTAAACATTTTACATTCAGGCAATACTCTCCAAACAACAAGTTGAGATGTTTGAAGTGAAAGTTAACATTAACAAGGTGAACATTAACATTAGAATTAACAAGATTTTATCAAGTTACAAAACAATAATCTATTTGTTTAGCCTCAAGGCTTTTTGGCTGTAACAATAAAAGATGCGCAGCAACAATTTCCCGAAAGTTCACCAGAACAACCAGCGCCTTCACAATCGGATTCGGTGATTTCAGAAAAAAAAACATTATACTTTTCTTTAGTGGGAAGCTGAATTGCCAATACTTGAAACGATTCTGACCTCTCCATCAATTCTCACAGAAAAAATATCACCGTCTTTGATTGCGAAACTAAAAATGTCAAACAGCAAAATTGATTTGGCCGACCCAAAAACGAGCAGCTCATCAATGGATTCATCAAAATCAGATGTAAGATGAAAATCTGTTTCTTCTTTTGTTAAAAAGTTATCGATTAAAGTGATTAAGTTAGATTTCGATGCCAAATAATCTATAGAAACTTTTGCGGAAACTCTATAGCTTTAAAAAGTACAAATGATTGATTTATGTTTATAAATCTTTAGAAACTTTAAATTGAGAATTATTTTATTTTTTAAACATGATAAAATAAAAAGAAGAATAGATAATCTACCCGGTTATTAGTTATTTATTTGTTTGTTTTTGTTTGTTAGTTATTAGTTAAATACCTGTTATTCTATAGGCAAAAAATTAGATCACACAGGTTGGCACGCTCAAAGTGAATGTGATCGAAGCACCCGCCGACACGGTATTTTGATTTTGAATTTCTTGGACAGATTTTTGATTTTAGAAAGATGAACAAAAAGCCTCGAAAGAAAAAGAACAACAACAGTCTTCCGAAATCTCAGAACAAGAAAAAGGTGGCATTCTACAGCCTCCTCTTGCTCCACAACCCACAACCTCATCACAATCAGAAAATTTGGATTTGAAAAAAATGTTTGAATTTTTCAATAATTCCCAAATTAAATAATATTAACAAATAAAAATGTTTTTAAAGAACAGCTGATACACTAGTTTTTTTACATATTTACCATACATGTTCTACCTTTCGGGATTTTATCTTATCTTATCAAGCAACTTCGAGATCTTTTAATTTCAAATCTATTTGACAGCTTTTTTTGATTTTTGGCATAAGTCAGTCGTAAGTGAATCAACTGTAAACCAGCTAAATTCAATTTCATTTAAAAGATTCATTCAAATTATCTTTGTTAGTTATTTTATTCAATAAAAAGCTTTGGGGTGTTTGGAGAAATAAGGGTTTTCTTCAGTTTAGCACGATTCTAAAGAATACCTCAAGCAAAAAGAAAAACGGAACTGTATCATTTTCAGCTTTTCTTTCTCTTTGTGATGTTTTTGATTGGTATTTGGTATTTTCTGAGCTTTTTGCTCAGTACCATGCATCTCCTCCGTAAATTCATTTCAAATTTTACATTAAACACAATTTTGTTGGCAATGGCGAAGGAAATGGTGAGTAAAGCAGAGAAAAAGATGACCATAGTATTCAGTTTCTTGTTTAAATTAGAAAAGTCGTTGAAGTCGACGATGAGTCGAGCGAAAGTGTTGATGAGGAAAGCAGAGAAAGGAAATCGTTCACAGCTCAAAATTCCACCCACGTATTGACCATAACCACAATCCTGAGTAGGCTGGCAAAGCTGCAAAGTTTTTTTGTTTTCAATTATCATCACAAACACTTTCATAGAGATTTCGATAAGAAGAAACCAAAAAAGGCAATCGTCGAGCTAAGACGTGTCTAGAAAGTTGCTTTGTTTGAGTAGTTGATATTAAAAAAGTTAAGAGTTTAAATATTACAATATTGTACTTGATATACCGTATTTTCTCTAATAGTAGTGCACCCCGGCGAGCCGAGTTGGTGACTATTTTACCGTTTCCAAGCTTTTGCAGAAGCTCAACACTCAAATCCTCCACAAGACCTCATCGTCAGCTACGTTTTCCGACCCCACATCGATAGGTTCTGATAAGCGGTTGTCGAGATTTCGAGGAATTTAGGCGACGCTCATGGTACACTACTATTAGAGAGAATACGGTATATTGGAAGCTCTACAATATCTACAAAGTCAAGTTAATGTCCGCGATTGTATGGTATATGTAGATCTATACTCAAATACCGTATACTCTCTAACAGTAGTGCACCCCGGCGAGTCGAGTGACTATTTTACCGTTTCCAAGCTTTTGCAGAAGCTCAACACTCAAATCCCCCATAAGATCACATCGTCAGCTACATTTTCCGGCCCCACATCGTTAGGTTCTGATAAGCAGTTTTCGGGATTTCGAGGAATTTAGGCAACGCTCATGGTGCACTACTATTAGAGAAAATACGGTATTATATAGATTTGAATTCAAAGTTCATCTACTTACTTTAGATTCAAATCTACAAAGTTTTCCTTAATTATTGTTTGCTCGCTCGATCTACGCTTAACTATTAAATGGTCAAAGATTTTCCTTCGAAATCTCTGTTTGATCTTGAAGTTTTTTATAACTTAGCAACTTGAATTCTCTTTTTTTTCCCTGAAACTTCATTCAAAGAGGGTAATTGCTCTATAAGTGCGAACAAGGAACGTTTTTGGAAAAAGAGGAAATTTTTGGAGCTCTGGTTTCTTACCCAAAAATATATCTATTCTAAAAGAAAAACCTCAAAGATTGTGATGCTTTGGATCTTTTCTCCATCTTTTACATCAAAAATGCAAGAAATGACCCGTTGTGTGGATAATTCTTTCGCGTCTTTTTTTTCTTAGAGTTGAGCTCTTTTCATCTGAAGAGAAATGGATGAGAGAACATTTCACAGACTTCCTCATCATTGTATTACTTTAAAGTAAATGAAACCTTTGGAAACAATGATTCTTTTTTAATTTTAACTTTTAAAACTAGATTAACTGATTTCTTGGATTTCTTGAACTTAGATAAGATTCAAACAGATAACTTAAAGAGTTAGAAAACAGATAGCTTCAAGATCTTTCAATTTAAACAGATAACTCTTCAAGATCTTTCAATTTAAACAGATAACTTACAAGATCTTGTCATCTAAACAGCTAACTCTTCAAGATCTTTCCATTTAACAGATAACTCTTCAAGATCTTGCCATTTAAACAGCTAACTCTTCAAGATCTTTCAATTTAAACAGATAACTCTTCAAGATCTTGCCATTTAAACAGCTAACTCTTCAAGATCTTTCCATTTAAGCAGATAACTCCTCAATTTAAACAGATAACTCTTCAAGTTATCTCTTCCAATATCAAGATTGATATTTTCTTTTGATTTCATCACTCCTAATCAAAGAAATTCCAATCAACTTTAGCTCATAAGCCAAGCCAGATCAATAAACTAGATTTAAATCTGAATTCTCGAAAGCTCTGATACTTTTGTGGTCTAGTAAAGTGCAATAGTGCAGCTATCTTGTGCAGTTTGTCATTTTCTTCTCAAATTGAATGAAGATTAATTTGAGAAGAAAATGACAAGCTACACAAGATAGCTGCACTACTGCACTTTACTAAACTTTGAGATAATCTTCATTCAACTCCCAGACACTCAAAAATAACTCATTTAGGATGAAAAGCTGTTGAAAACTTGATCCAAAAATGAAGCTAAAAATAAACCTCATTTTCGTTATTCTTTTCAACTAAAAATAATAATGATGTAAGAAAAAAAGGAAAAAAAAAACGATGGTTTTAAAAAAAAAATGAATTACAGTTCTCATTTTGGAAAGCAATTCCCAATTTGCGTATGAAAAATCAAAAAAAATTCTCACCTGCATAAAGCTAAGAAATTTTCCAACATTATTTTTTATTGTTATTTGAATTTTATAGTAAGGAAAGACCAGTTATGAATGGAATTTTTAGATTTTTAAAGTTTTCTTAGATTTTAGCTGTAATCATTCAAATTTTAAACCGTTTTTAAGTTCAGTTTTAAGTTTTAAATTCAAATTTAAACTTAAACTTTGTTTAAGATTCAAATTTTAAACAAAGCTCTAGTGGATTCTTGACGTTATCTGTGCTACCCATATATTACATTATATTGTGTTGCTTTTTATCGGCCCTTTTCATGTTATGTGGATGAATTAATTTGTTTTAATCTTAAATCTAGCGAACTTTATCTCAGTTCCTGAATAAAGTACCTATATATATACAGTGGAACCTCTCTATAACGTAACTCACGGGACGGCTATAGCTTACGTTATATAGAGGTTTACGTTATATAGAGTGCCGTTTTATATAGCTTAAAGTCGGCCGGGACCGGTCACGCCTTACGTTATAGAGAGGTTTACGTTATATCGA